AGATGGCTCAGCCGTTAAGGGCACTGGCTGCTCTTCCAGAGGATTCCGGTTCAATTCCCAGCACCCACATGACAACTCACAACTGCCTGTAACTCCAGTTGCAGGGGATCTGACACCCTCACACAGACATGCATGCAGGAAAAACACTAATGCACAGAAAATGGAAATAAATTAATTAAGAAAATAAAGATGAGAGCTTTGATTTTTGTATTGACATTAGCTATTATGGTCCTGCTCATTTTGTTAGAATGTTAGCCTACACTTTTAGGCCAGATCCTCAGCCTAAATCAGGCCATGCCTCTCTGTATCTCTCTCTGAGCATGAGTCTGTGATGTGACTTGGAAGCTCTCAAGCTATGGTGTCTCCTCCATGCTCCTTGCCATGTATGCTGTGCTAAATCATATGATGTGAAACTTCTCAATACTCCTAAAAGGTTATAAAAAGTATGGCCTTTCCTATTTTCTAGGTGTTGGTCTGAGACTCCTCAAGGAGAGTGCTTGTGGATTTGGTCCAGAGGTCTTCTGGTCTCCCTCCACCATCCCTCTCATGGCAGCACCTTCATTCTCACTCTGTCTGTCTGTCTGTCTGTCTGTCTGTCTTTGTCTCTCTCCCCACATCCCTCCCTGCCTCCCTCTTTCTCTTGTTCTCTCTCTTACTGAAGCTCCCCTCTAAGCTTTAAAGGGAAGCCTCTTCTCCCATTAATATCCAGTTATGGCCTTGAGGCCCTTTTAAAGACTTTTTGGTATGTGAGCTGGTATTGTCATTGTTCAGGTCATCTTTAAGCAGCTTGTTGAGATTTCCTGGGTGCAGCTACTCTGTCATGTCCAGAAGGCACAATCTCACAGCAGACTTCCTGGTCCTCTGGCTCCTACTTTTTTGTATCTCCTCTTCTGTGACGTTTCCTGAATCTTAGGTGCAGGGCTTGTGTTGCAGATGTATCAATTGAGGCTGAGCACCCCATGATCAGTTCTCTGCATTTTGGCTAGTTATGGATTTTTTGTAGTGATCTCTATTTGCTGAGAGGTGAGAGCTAGCCACACTTATATAAGTGTGGGCATAAGGTTAAGTATTTAAAATGCAGTTAGGAATTATATTGGTTTGAGAAAGCTGTAGTGGTAAGTTCTCCTCTGAGATCTGTGGCCTCAGTAGCATTGGATGGTTTGCTTGGTTTACAGTACCAAGCATTATTTCTTTCTTGTTGAGCAGACTGTAAGTGCAATTATATACAACTGTTGCTTAATGCTAAGATGTAAGTGCCACTACTTGACCTTTAGGACTATCTTGCCATGCTGATCATTATTGTGGTTCATAGGCATTACAGCTGAGGACTATTTAATGCTTTCCTCTGTTTGCAACATAAATAGCCACTTCAAATACTATGAGAGCTAGTCCTCAGGAAGGAGACTTTGGGTCAGGTCCAGCTGCATTCATCTAAGTCTTCTGTCCAAAATGTGTGATATCTTCAGAAATAGGGACTTCAGCTCTGGGAGGCCACCAAGGGCAACGGCAATGGCTTATATTGTTTTGGGAATCCCTTGGACTTCCCTGACTAAAATACAAAAGGAGGTTTCTCATGCCTGGTCCTGGGGTTTGTGTTAGATATTCTTTGGCTCCAGGGAACATAATCACCCCAAGTGGTGTAAGTCCACTGCAACTATATACTTACATGTATTATATGTACTATTAGGTAAATATAAAATAATATCATTCCTTATAACTTTCTAACCATCTTTATGACACTAAGGCCCTTTCATTCTTATAAAGCTCATTGAAGAGACTTATCTCAGACTACTTTCTGAACTCACTGTTGCTGTTCATCTTTTATTAGACTTAAAACACTTACTTGTTTTCTGTATTAATATTTGAATGTACTATTTCCTTGACCTTGTCCTCCATCCCCAATATTCTTTCCTCTGCTTGATAGTTTACTTGATAGACTGATGCATCCCACTGTTTTATATTCAGTGTATTAAGATAGACATTTCCAACAGTTCCATTTTCCCCACCAAATCTCAATTTCCTTCTTGAATTTTTCTTCCATGTTGCTGACTTTTTCTCATACACTTTGCTAACTTTTTCCTCTTTGTTTCTATTTTCTTCTCTATGTTCTGGGCAAATCATTCGCTTATTTGTGTGATTTTTTTAGGTAATTTTCATTTTTACACATGAGATATTCACCTGGCATTTACCTATTTAAGTATTTTTTGGAGTCAGTAGTTGATTTATGGTCTTTTGAGGAATCACATTTGCCTTGTTTTCTTATTTCTTGCCTTCTTTGTCAAGAATTATGTATCTTTTAGTTTGAATAGTTCCTCTAATTTTATTTGGGAATGTTCAATATTTAATAGCAACTCTTACAAGCCAAATCCTTCATACCACTAAGGAGAAAGAAAACTCTTTGTATTAGTTACTTTACTCTTCTGTTGCTAAGATGAAAATTCCATGACTTAGGCAACTTAGATAAAATGGAGTTTATTTTGGTTTGTGGTTCCAGGTTGATAAGAGCCCAGTGTGACAGGGAAGCATGGCTGCAAGTGGCAGCCTGAGCAGGAAGCTGATAATTCACAGCCTCAAGGGTAAGCATGATGCAGAGAGAGTGAACTAAGGGTAGGATGAGGCTGTAGAATCTCAAATACCACCCCAATGATGTACTTCCTCCAGCATGGCTGAACGCCTAAACCTCCCCAAATAGCACCACCAACTAGGGACCAATTATTCAAATACCCAAGCCTATGGGGACATTCTCATTCAAACCACCACACTACTGTAATGGCAACCATAACAGACTACATGTGATAGAGTTAAAATCAGTTAGATCCTATTAATGCAGCACCCATTACCATAAAACGGAAAATTGAAAAACTAACAGATCGTGTTTTATGGTGTCAACAAGTACTTAGGATAAACATGGAAAAGTAAATGAATGAGATACAGGCAAGAGAGAGGCAGAGAAAGTCCATGGGGCCTGGAGGCAAAGTCCATGATAGCATCTTGTTGTGGGGGAGAAAGCACCACTCAGCGCTCCTACTTTCCACAACCTCTGCTACTTTAGACAAGAAATGGAAACAATCTGCATTTATCTATCAGTGAATACATACAGAAAATATTCACAGTGGAGTACTAATTGGCTTTTAAATGCACAATATATGAAAGCCTGTTATTTCTGGTAACTTGGATGGGACTGCAGATCATGTTATGTGAAATAAATTAAGAACAAAAGAGAACTAGATCCTAGTCCCATTTTTAAGTTGTGCATAAAAAAACCCCTTGATCTCAGGAATCAGGAATTGTAGTTATTTTAAATTCTCTGTCCAATTCCATGATTTGTGTCATATTGGAGAGTGGTTTTAATGCTTTCATTGTCTGTTCATATTGTGGGTTTTCTTTCTTTTTAGTATGTTTTGTGTGTGCACATGTGTTTACGTGTATGTGTGTGTCTGTGATTATGTCCGTAAGGCAAATATAATATATTGCATAGTCATAACTGTGATAATTACTCTTTTAGTGTGAATTTTATTTGCATTTAGCTAAGACTTCATTAGATTCAGTATTTTTTTTTCTAGGCAGTAGTGGAAAAGGCTTCCCCTGGTATAACTGCTTGTTCCTTCCTCTTTAGTGTATCATGATAATGTTTATAATAAAATTTGTCCTGTACTCCTAACAGTGGGAGTAGGGGCTGTTTCTGACTCTTTTACTGGCTTTTGGGACCCTATTTCTCATACTGGGTCGCCTTGTCCAGCCTTAATACAAGGGGAGGTGCTTAGTCTCACTGTAACTTGATATGCCATGTTTTGTTGATATCCATGGGAGGCCTGCCCCTTTCTGATCAGAAACAGAGGAGGAGTGGATGGTGGTGGGGGAGGGATAGGGGAGGGGATGGAAGGAGAGGAGGGGAAACTGTGGGCAGGATGTGAAATAAATAAACAAACAATTTTTTATGAACCAAAAAAAATGTGTCCTGTAGTCAGTCCTCTCAGTTGTAACTCAATACTTCACATTTTAAATTACATTTAAATTTATTCACAGTGGGAGTGCATTCACATGCGTGTGTGTGTGTGTGTGTGTGTGTGTGTGTGTGTGTGTGTGTGTACAGTCACATGCCCTGGCATGAGAGTGGAGGTCTGAGAACAATTTACAACTTGTGGGAATTGGTTGTTGTCTTCTAACGTTTGAGTTCCCGAGGATAAATTCAGGCCTTTACCTGTCAAGCCATTCTGCTGGCCCTATTCAGTGCTTTTATGCTGATACTGCAGTAAGGTATTGTGGAGGGGAGGATAATACGATTTGAATTATCTAAGGTGTAGAAATTTTATGACCCAGAATATAATTTATCTTGGTGAATAGTCCACGAACTTTTGAAAAGTGATGTGCATTCTTATTTTCTGGATGAAGTATCCTATAAATTTCAATAGTGTTAACTTGCTCTGTAACACTGTTGTCTTTCTAGTTGTTGAGAATGATACTGAAGTTTCCCGACTGTGTTTTTGAATTGTTTATTACTCCTTTCAGTTCTATCAATGTTTTTTCTTCTTGTGTTTTAAAGTTTTGTCCTTTGTGCGTATATGCATAGGGTCATTATACCTCATCAATGGGCTGTTCCTTCCTTACCTCTAGTAATTTTTACAATGAGCTTTTTACCAAGCCCAGCCACTTGGTTTCTTTTGGTTAATGCATTCATGGTATGTGTTTTTACACTATTAGTTTCTCTGTACCTTATTCATTATATATCAAATGTGTGTCTCATAAAGAGCACATAATGTGGTCACTTTAAAATCGGTTCTGATGGCTCTTTTTATTGATCTGTCTGTAACATTTATATTTCAAGAAATAATGTGTTGTGTACTGAAGTTGATATGTTGAAATGTTGACTCAGTATAATGTTACTTAGAGGAAAGTAATAAATATTGAATTGAGATCTAAGGTTAGGCCTCAATATGATAGGATTAGAGTCTTAATGAGAAGACAATATGAGATCACTATTATTTCCTATTCCCATACAGACGGAGTGGTGTGAGAGGCCACAGCAAGAAGGTGACTGTCTATAAAGTAGGAAGACAGGCTTTTCCAGAAACTGACTGAAGGAAGCCTCATCTTTGATTCATATCCTCCAAAATGTGAGAATATAAGTATCTGTTCCTTAAGACATTCAATGTGTGATATGTTTCTGGCATGCTAAACCAAGTAACAGCATTTGGTAAGACTGGTTCTTCCACTTTATCATTTTGGGGGTTTATTGTTTTGATTGTGCATATTTGTAGGACTCAGCATGATAATTTAATCCATGGATTATGTAATGATCAAATTGGAATAGGTAGCATTTCTGTGTCTTTATACATTTGAAGTAATATTCTGTGGGGCTAGTTATGGAACCTAAGGCCTTGTGCATGCTTGGCAAGGGTTTCACCACTAAGCTATAGCCAGACAGAACCCCTAAAATGTTAACACGTCGTAGATGTACATATAAAAATGCAGTGTATAGTATGGTATTTCAGTATTTCAGTATCTTCATTATTGAGATCAGGCTATGCCCTACTCTAAGTTACTCTACAGTGGTTTTTCAGGCTGTGCCCTGCCCTAGGAGACTCTATTTTACAAGTAACTTTTGACTCCCTTTTGTTAGAGAAGTATAACTGCAGCCCCTGGGTGGACCCATAAACTGAATCACTGGTCAGGCAACCATCCATCCAAAACAGACTAAAAAATGACTTGTGCCTGAGAGTATAAAGGGAGCCATCCTAAAAGTTTATTGTGCAGAATTATGGTTGTTATATCAGGGAACTCAGGACCAAGAACATATAAGACATAGAAATGTAATTTCCTCATGTGGACCTCCTAAAGTGATGGATACCCAGAACTGCAATGCTATGGCTACACACCAGCCTATCATCTGATACCTGGTGATGCTCTCAAGGACTGAGGACTTCCTGACTTTTCCTGGAGCTTCTTCTTGGCTTTGTCCCCTGCTGTTGACACTGCCTCCTGGACTGCTTGCCTGTCCACCTGTCCACCTACCTGTTCACCTGTTTGAACCTGCCCCACCATTTTCTTCTCTTGATCAGTTTCCTGCTTCAGACCATGTTTGACCTTGAAGCTGAAGCCTGCAGTTTTGCTTTGAGACTGGCTTTCAGCTGCTCTCTCCCAGCACCTTTCTAGTTCATTATCTTATCAATGCAGACACTTCTTCAGCCCACTTCTGAAACCCCTTGAACTCTGCGGCAGCCTCTTTAACTTGTATACATTCTGTAACCCATATGGAGGCATATATATGTATATAATATGTTTATATATAAAATATATATAATATATTGCTGTGTGATGTGTAATATGAGGGTTTCTATTAGAATTAAAATTGAAATAAAGAACCTGCATTTCACCTTGTTCACACTACTGAGGTAGGTAGATTATATGACAAATTGTTGTCATTGAAACTGCTAAACTTTGTGAATTTGTTGTTATCATTAAATCGGGACATTGTAGAAAGACACAAACGTATTTGTCTACGTTTCTGGCATAGCATGCTCACAGCACTTTAGCTTTCTGAAACCTTACGAGAGGGGCGTCAGTGCTGATTTCTTGATGTTTATATCCTGTTAGTTCTCTCAATCTGCATTGCATGTGTCTGTGCCTTTTGATATGGTTGGACTTTTTCAATTCATGACTTATTCAGATTCTTTTTCGGCTTCATACTCTTTTGAAACCTCTTATAATACAAGACAAGATGGGAAGAGGGCAGAGCATGAACTAGCACTGCTTTGCACGGTCATGTTCTTTATCCTTGTTGCTGGGTTTACGTTGTTTTCTGCTCAGCTCTGCAAACATTCATACACATGTCTCACATTTTCTTACTCTTCTGCACTGCCACTGAGTACAGGTAGAAATCACACTGTTAATGATTACTCCTGACAGAAGGGAAAGGGAGTGGCACTCATGTACACTAGGACTGCCCCCTTCTAACAGTGGTCAGAAGGAGGAAGAAATTCTACTTCATATTGGGGCTTGCTGACATCACAATTGAGGGGCGGGTAGTAGAAATGGAGTACCAACTAGCAGTGTCTCAAACCACCTTATTGTGCCTGTTTACCAAATGTGGGTAGGACGTCAGCCCTATACTGGGTTCCATTGACACTTGCCAGTGTAGAGAGCAGAATCGGGGCTCTCACCAGCTCACCACCTCACTGTACTTTTCTATTGCAAGATACATATTGCAGAAGTCAAACCCAAGATTCAGGAAGTTTCTGAAAAATGTCCACAATCTCATATCCTCAGTGTTATGTATCTATATGTATTTTATTGTCTAAATGATGTTCTACCTCTAAGTGTCCTTCCCTTTCCCAAGTCCTCTGTTCTGCCTCTGGATAATGCCGAGTCTTAGAGACCATTTTAGGGCCTAGAAAGGAATCCTGAATCTATTTTCTTACATACATCTTTTCAGCATAACATCTCAATTTTGCCAGAAATTGGTCCTACTGATCTTTCTAGATTCTGGGCTTTGGAGTCTAGCTTGTTTTGACCCTTGTTCATGTTCTCTTGAGTTCATACAGAACAAATGTGTTGTCTGCAATGTATGTCCACAACTCTTCGGGCAGCCCTATTATTTCTTAACAATCACTTATCAATAATGTTTATGAGCTAAGTGATAAGAATATCATAATTAACAGAAATGCACACACTCTTCTCTATTGAAATTATCAGCCTTTCATTCTGTGAAGAAAATAAATGAACAAAAACGTGAAATGTATAAAGTATATGTTTATAATTAGTATGAAAAAGCGAAGATAACGGGAAGGTAAATTGAGAAAGAATTGAGTATGGGATTGAAAGCCTGTGGCTTTAAGGATATGAGGAGGTTTACTTGGATTGGATCAGGGTTTCTGTATGATAGAGCGCTGTTGGGAAGTAATAAAGTGGACTTCATTTACACAACCAGACTACGAAGTGTATTTATCAGAAATATTCGAGCTGTCCGAGAGCTCACTGTTGGTATTTGAATGTGTGAAGTGTGTCTTCATGTGGCCCAGTACATGTACTGTGTTCACAGAGGCTTCTGCCTTTTGAAACAATTAAAGCCTCAATTTGATATTTTAAAAGCCAAATAAATAAATAGTCTTCATCATGTGAATCATGCTCAGTCTCTAAATTTTATTCTGTCATAAGTCTTCTGTTCCTAGGGACCATTTTGCCTTAAGACCTTGAGATGAATCCTGCACCTCTCTTCTGATATATATTCTTTTGTTATGAGCATTGTGTGTGAGTGCCCAGTTGAGAAGTTTCTCTGTGGAAGGTGTGCCTGAAGAGAGGGAGTTGGGAATTCAGCAGGTTTTCTTCAGGGTTATCATGACACAGAGCTGTGTCTTTCCATATAAAGAACTGGGGCTGATTCCCTCTAGACCCTCACACCAAAGAAGCTGAATGTCTTTGCTGTCAAGGAGGCAAAGTTAATCAAATCAAACCAAAATTAGCTCATTTCTTTTTCTTTCATGCCTTTCATCGTCCTGACTGAGGTAGCAGAAATGCAAAGTACTTCGCTGTTCAGGAACAAGTTCTAGTTGGACTATTGATAGCCCCAGATCAGGAGCATTTTATCCCTAAGTGAGGTCCTATGATTTGGAATGCCAACCCGTAGAACTTGTGTGTGAGTCCTTGAAATGTCCATAGAGTTGGGGATATTTTCTATGAAAGGGTTCTGGGCCTGGGGATAGCTACAGAAATATTAACATTTTAATTTTATATTTATTTAATAATATTATTCAACTTCCAAGGAATTTGATTTTAGAGCTACATTGATTTAATTTTAAAAATATTAACTATAGGTCACATATAGACAAAGCAAATGCCATAAGGATGATTGCATTATTCAAGTGTACACTGAGAACTGCCATAGTTACTGAGAGACTAGACAAAGAAAAATGAGTTCAATTTCTAGTCGTCAGATACTTCACAGTTGCTTAATAGAATTTTCATTTGATACACTAATGTCACAAGACACAGAGAAAAATAAACGTATAATAACTCGGTTTGAAGAATGACCTTTCATGTCAGTGTCAATGCAAATATTAATTTTAATTTGACAGATAAGTCTACCATATTTCATTCAGTATAATGGCAACTCTATTTGAAAAAAAAAAATGAAACGAAGTCTTTCCATTGGATGATCTCACAATCTAGTGAGGAAGAAATCGCTAACAGAAAGGCACAACGAAGAACTGTATGTGCTAAATTTGATACAGAATGAAGTGTCAAAAGAGAAAGGAGGCAGCAAAATACATTGAGAATGAGTAGTCAAATAAAAAAGGAAACACATCCCATTATAAATGGAAAACTGTAAATAGTTTACACCTGTTGGTGCAGGTACATGTGTGTATGAACCTGTGTACATGTGTGTACGTACCTCTGTACATGTGTGTACGTACCTGTGAAGCTTGGAGTACTAACACCTCAGGTATCATCCTCAGGCATGCCATCAACTTCTTTTCAATTCAGCTAGACTGGCTGGCCAGTGAGCCCCAGGGATTTTCCTGTCCTAGTGTCCCTAGCGCTGTGAATACAAGTATGTGTCACTACCTCAGGCATGGGTTCTGGGGATTAAGCTCAGATCCTCATGCTTCTAACATGAGCACTTTACCAACTGAGCCATGCCCCTGGCTTGGCATTTTAGATTTTTACCCAGAGGGGAATGGTTCTTTGATTGTATCGCCATACCTGTGTATGCTCCCACATAGGCATAGGCCTGAATCACAGCTAAACAGAGTCTTAGAAGAAGGCTGTGTGATCTAAGCATAAGATAATGTGAGACCTACCCTAATCGCTCCTGGAAGGCTGTCATCAAAGAGTTTTGTGATCTCTTTCCTGATTTAGAAGGAGACTTTCAGTTTTTGGCATCTGAGAAAAAAGCTGTGAAGTTTTAAAATCACAGAGCTGGTATCTACACTTGACTTTTCAGCAACAAACTACCCCACCACTTGTGTTGTCATCTCCTGGTCCCTTTGCCTTGGTGTCATCTTTTTTGGTGTGTGTGATAAAGACCACAGGGAGCTAACAACTTTGGCTAAAATAGTCATTTTCTTTTCTGTGATGACTATTCTTGGTTGTCAACTTGAGTTCCAGGACAGCTAGGGCTACCCAGAGAAACTCTTATTTTTTTTTTAAAAAAAAGCATAAAAAGGTATCATCTCCATGTTAATGACTACATCTGGAATGAACTACAATCTAGGAATGGAGGGCACACCCGTGAGAGATTTTTTTTTTTAGTTTGAAGTAGGTGAATCCACTTCCAGTCTGGAGCTTTGAAGTAGGAAGACACACACCTGTGATCTGGATCTTGAGGCAGGTAGATATACACCTTGCCACACCTTCTGCTAGAAGTCTATATAAGGACGTAGAAGAAGGAAACTTTTGCTCGTTGACCACTTGCTCTCCCCTTGCTAACATATCCATTCCTTCTCTGGTATTAGAGCATACTTCTTCGGGATGCGAGCTTATACTGAAGACCATCTGAGACTTCCAGCCTTGTGGACTAAGCAGCTACTGGATTCTTGGACTTTCTGTTCACAGCCAGCCTATGTTGAATTAACTGGATTACAGCCTGTAATCATTCCAATAAATCCCCTTTATATAGAGAGAGATTCATTCTATAAGTTCTGTTACTCTAGAGAATCCTAATACACTGTCCATGTGTGTAAATAGTGCACCATCCCTATTTAAAAGCAGCTTATTTTATGTTTGCTGGCTTTTCTGGGCCTTGTCTGTGCTTTCTTATTATTTGTATCCTTCACATATCAGGTGTCAAGGTGAGGCCAGAAAATATACAATGACTGTGGTGGTTTGAATGAGAATGGCCTCCATAGGCTCATGTGTTTGAATAATTAGTCCCCAGCTGTTGGAACTGTTTGGGAAGGATTAGGAAGTGGGGCTTTGTTGGAGGAGGCGTGTCACTGGGAGTCATCTTTGAGGTTTCAAAAATCCCATTCCAGACCCACTCTCATCTCTCTCTCTCTCTCTCTCTCTCTCTCTCTCTCTCTCTCTCTCTCTCTCTCTCTCTGCCTCTTGCTTGTGGATCAAATGTAAGCTCTCAGATACTGCTCCAGCACCACAGTTAACAGTGGTTTTGCCAGGCATATTGGCTCATGACTGTAAATCCAGCATTTAGGAGGCTGAGGCAGGAGGATTGCTGTAGAGCAGCCTGGGCTGCAAACAGAATTCCAGGCCATCTTGGGCTACAGAGTTTGACCCTCAATCAAGCAAGAAATGTGGTAGTGGTGTTAAATGAACACTTCTGATGAAGCCTCAGCCTCTTGGAAGATAAACACTACATGAAATTGTGCAGGATCCACAATCTCTGTTTCTGACCCTTAGGAACACCCATGAAAAAAAAGGATCCTTTAAGGACAAACATCAATGGACATAATGAGCTAGTCAAATTAGAAGCCTCAGAAATGATAGAGTGCTTCTATATGCCTATCAGTTATGTGGCTGTGGAAAGAAAGCAACTCTAAATGGTCAGGAGAAAACAGCCTTTGCAAAAATGACTAACACTCCCCCTTCCACTCTGTAGCTAAGGTCTATCATCCACATGGATTCAGTTACCTTAATAGAAGTCATTCTTGTCTTACCTAAGCAAACAGAACAGATGTGGTATAAGCCCCCAGCAGTACAATTAAATTAAATTGAGGTATCTGATGGGGAGGCTAAGAATTTGACCATTCTTTTATTAGTTTTGACTGCTCCCAGGTATTTGTTGGTGTAGCTGCTGTTTCGTTCGTTTGTATTTCTTGAGACAGACTATTGCTATGTAGCCTCACCATCCTCCTGCCTGAGTCACCCTAGTACTGTGATAACAGGTATATGCAACCACAACCATCTCTGCTTTAAGCCTCACCTCTCTCCCTTCTTCATCTGCTCATACCTAGACAAGCTGGTGAGAAACGTGACAACACCCCCTTTTGATGTTGTGATTCACTGAACAATCAATCAAAATTAGATTAAATATTTCACACTTATACAATGGCTTTAAGAAATAGGAGTCCATACGTAACTTCCTTCACAATTATATAATTAATATACCCTGGTTTATATTAAAATAGGACCTTTAAGGATTGAAACCATTATACAAGACCTATTTAGGCAAGGAAGTGATTGTTTCAGCTGTTTTTCCATTCAACTGCCCAATTCAGCTAGCTCTTAAACTTGGAATGAATGAATGAATGAATGAATGAGTCTTCTTGGTTATAACAGTCTTAATGCCATGGTCTCACCCATTAATAACCCTGGGAGTAATATTATAGTATGTTAATTAATGGATCAATCCAATTGTCAGTTAATACAAATTTGGTCATTGCATGCTGTTGAATGCCTACATCAACAACCTTTTGTCCACATTTTTTCTTTTTTTCCAAAGGGAGGTACCCAGATAGTAGATCACCAACCTTTCTATCTTAATCAACCTTTGTAGGCAAAGCCTAATTGTATCTGATTTTCTCCAGGAGCACAGGCCTAACATCACGTCAATGGCACCCTCCTTTTAACTGATCCCGTAAAAAAATACTTGGGACATACATTCACCCCTCAATGGTGGATTGGTTCCAGGATATCTGTCTCTTCCCTTGAGGTATCACAATTCTCACATGGTCAAATCCCTTATATAAAATCATATGCTATCTGCATATAATCTATATACATCATCTTAATTTTAAATCATCTCTAAATGCCATGTAAAATAGTTGTTATGTGTGCCATTTAGAGAATCATGACAAGAAAAAAATCCTTGTACATGTTTGGTACAGGTGCAGTTTTTAAAAATACTTCTGATCCACTGTTGCAAAAACCATGGAAACAACACCTACAGATATGAGCGACAGACTATACAAGTACTCAGAAAGATAGGTCATAAGAAAAGGAGGGCCCTTGCTGCACATGTAACACAGTGCCTTAAGTTTCTTAATCATTTGGTAAACTGAGAGCTGCCTTGGTCCCTGATGGCCATTTGTTGTCTACTGTCTTCTGCCTAAGACAAAAAACTCAGTTCTTTGTCAGATTCTGTGCTGGATGAAGTCACCTATTTCCCAAACTCACTGTCTACCTAGAGACCCCTTCAGGTTCAACTGAATGAAGGAAAATAGGAGTTGGGGCATATTATGAACACACACACACACACACACACACACACACACACACACACACACACACACGCTCCCACAAGAACTTGTCATCACTGAAACAGGATGTCCCTGAAAAATAAAGACTAACCTAAGGATCAGAACAGTTACATCTTATACTGTAGCTAATGCAGTGCATGTCCTAATTATAAATCACGGCTGAATCAAGACACTCCTTTTTGTTTTCAGAGTTTCAGGCATTGCTGAAGTCAAGGAATTCCTTTTCCTTTGTCTGAATATACAATACAGAGCTCTAGAAGAAGACTTTAATTTTTGTAATGATGATAATTGAATGCACTCTTCCTCTGAACTGCAACCCTCAGCCATACAAATCACCTGGTGAAACTTTCACTATCCTAACAGATCTCTAATCCCAAGTTTAATTAAGGAAGCATGATACTGTTCAAATATTTTACTTACCAAGATCAAGGATAAATTATAATAAAATCTTTTACATGCTTGACTGCTGGCAGCATTTAAACCATGTCTTCTCTGCTTCATGCTTACAAGTTAAGAAAAAAAAAAAAAAACAGAGCGCTCTTTCCTTTGATGGCCAACAGAGTTCCACACAATGCAAACTGCCAGCTGGGAACTGGAACCCTTATTCTAGTCTTACACCACAAGCCCAATACAAACTCCAAGAGTCTCCTTCCCTTCTCTAGAAATTTCCAGCCAGCTTTAAAGGTTTCTGAGTACCCCCACCCAACCCACCCCCACTCCATCCCTCACCACCAAAAAAAGGCCTCTTTGTGTAAGTAATGAACCTTTAAATGCCTGGTTGATCTGGATGTGACATCAGCCTTTTTATTGGAAGCAAATTTTGTATTGGAATTCCTTCTGTATCTTCAAGGCGGCCTCAACAGGTGACCTATCTTTGTCACTGCAACTAATCTGAGTCTCAGACTTCTAGTGACCATCCCAGGATAGAAAATGGAAAGCTGTAAGTGACTCCCCTGGAAGACTGTCATGAACTGGTTTCTCAGCTAAGTTTCTGGTGGGACCTCAGAGCTACACAATGTAAAACCACTCTGCTGTGGCTTCTCTGCAACCAACTATCCCACAATTTCTATTACAACCATCATCCCATTGTTCTTTGGATCTCAGGATATGTAAGACAAGAACCAACTTTGTAGTGTTAATAAGTCCTGAACTGATTACATCTAAAAGTGGTTCCTGCATCCAATCAGTCAGGCCTTGGCTTTGTATGTGGGAGCTTGTTACTACATATTCTGATTACTATGTCACTTATTATAAACTAAACTAATATAACTAGCATACTTCTACACAGAAGTTGTTATGCTGACTAAATGCTGAGGGTATTTAGTAAATACCATGTCCTTCAGTCGTTTGTATCTGGGAAGCCTTCACTGCATTATCTTATGTAGCTCAGTGGGGCCAATTTTGCACCTAATGAAAAAATCACATAATATATGTTATGAAGCTAAGAAGTTAGGAAAATCTATTAGAAAGGGAAATTCTGAGAAAATAAAACCACAATTTATTAAAATATTCTCCTGAATAAAGAAAAACTTAATCCAAGATCATGATGTCCTTATGGTGTTTCAGCTTTCTGATTTTGTAGAAAGCAGATCTCCAGTAAAGTTACAATGTTGTTTCGTACTGTTCATTTGGGGCTTTTTTTTTGGACTGGTATTAGCTGAGACAATCATTAATATCATAAGCACTTCACAGGCACCATGAGTACCATGTTCCAGACTCTGGGAATAAGAGGAAACTCAGAGTCTCAGAGCCAGGAGACCTTACAGTTTAATTGAATAAGGTTAGTGTGAGTGGGATAAAACTGACCCAACAGAGCAGCGGAGTACTGGGAATATGCTGGTATGCTGTACCCAAAGAAACAAAACTTCTCAGAAGCAATGGCTTGCAAAGGCAGGGACTCTAAATACTTGCTGCATTGTACAGACCGGAAAGCTAAAGGTTAGAGAGGAAAAGTGACTTGGCAGGGCCATTACAGTGTCTGGTCCCATTAGCTTGGAGCCACAAACTATCAGGCTCCAAAGCACTATTTTACCACCACTTCAAGTTCCCCATGGGTCTGCTTGCCTCCAAATTTGAAATCTCCTCAAATCAGTTGAGCCAAATTAGGAAACAACTTCCAGGGGAAGAGGGGCATTTTCTCAGGAAGATCTTGATGCCTTTTCACCAGGCACCCTTGTAACTGAAGCACTAACCAGCTCACGTGAGAAAGGCTTTCCCCCTCTCCAGACACAGTTGATTCAAGGCAACTGCTTGCCCTTGGGATTAGGAACACTTAACTATCAGAACAAAAGCTGCAGCTTCACATTTCTTTATCCCTAGCGGGGAACTCCTTCGCAGGACCTACAGTGCTGTTTGAACTGCCTTCCTGCTCCTTAACCCACAAACGTCAGGACTGAACCTACCCTGTTAATAAAAGCACATCTTTAGTTATTCTGACCTATGTCTTCATTTCCGCAGCCTGTGATCCCCTGCAGTCAGGAATCCTAACTGCTTATCTTCTTTTTTTAACCTGTCTTCAACTAGAATATTAGACACCATGTGTAGCACACACGTCTACAATTAATGGGTTCTGTTCCCCCAAGAAACTAGTAAAATGGCATTATACAGATTTTTATAAAATAATCCTGGTATGAACTAGAACGCAAATGGTTTTCAAAACCTCTCTTTGGCATAGTAGAGCCAACCACCATTTTCCAATAGTTGTAAATAAAACCACAATTTATTAAGATAGTCTCCCAAATAAAGAAAAATGTGATCCAATAGTTGTAAATAATGATTTAACTGTTACTATTTCAGTAGGACAAAGTCAAAGAAAGAGTCCATTCCAGGGCATGTCTCCTTTTATTTCTGTGAATTTGACATCTTATACCAGAAGTAGCATCCTGGAGCCAACATTTAAAAGTCAATCTATAAACTTTTCCCTCCTCACTTTTTTCTCTCTGCATTTATATACTACATTATATACTAGACTTAATTAGAAGAACTCCAACATTTCCAGTGATTTTTGAGTAACTTTTTTTATTATGGAAAATGTCAAACATACAAAAGCAGAGATGACCATATATAATGAACATCATTTACTCATCATTCAGCTTCAACCATCTTGAAGGCCAATCTTGTTTGAGTATGTCCAATGTGTTTAATATCTAGATACATTGTGAAGCAAATCCCAGACATTATATCATTTCAACTGTAAATATTTGAATGCAGATAAGAATTCTTTTCTCCAATATAACAACAGTATTATAATAATGAACGTGAAAATATCTAGCCAATGCTCAAAATATTCTAGTTGTCTAATAAACTAAATCATCTTATAGTTTGATCAAATCAGGATCCAAATAAGATCCATGCAAGTACTGATCACTCTCTGAAGCCTTTTTTCAATGCACAGGTTTAACCACCACCCTTTCCTTTCATCCTTGTGACTTATATACTGAAGAAACTGGATCATCTGTCCTGTGTTTTCTTGAAGTCAGGATTCTATGAATCTCATCTGTTTGATATACAGTAAACTGTTTCTCTGTCTCCTGAATTTTCTATAGAGGAGAAATTATGTCTAGAGGCACAGTTAAATTTAGGTTCAAAATTTTGGCAAATGTAGGAGGTACATAATGTCTGGGATAACACAGACATATGAATATGAATCTTTGCTACTATTCACAGCTGCCTTGAAATAGTTGCGAGACACCTGATATACAAAAGCCACATATATGCTAGAGAGATTAGAAGAGGGATGTTTTACCATTCGTTATCATTACAAAATATTAAACAAATATTCAGTGACGCCTACCATATATCAAGTAATGTATGCTAGATATAAAAAGACTAAGAAAGCAAGTTCTTTGCATTCAAGGTCATATCTGATGGGGAAATACAGACAAAAGCACAAAAAGGCCACAGGTGCCGAATAGACTTCTGTACAGATACAGTGGTAGTGCAACAACCTGAAGTCTAGCCATTGTTAATAACAGGAAAGCAGTGTCCAAAAGCATAGGGTGAGCTGTGTCCTTGGGGATGTCAAAGAGCTCACCTGTGCTTCACAATTCCATTCATCATTGGGGTCACATACTTGATTCTTTCAAAGTAAATCTGAACAACATTTATTCCATTCACCTAAAAAAAGATAATCTGATTAATAAGGTTTTACTGGTTTGTCCATTCCTGTAGAGTCTAGACAACAAATATTTACTGAGGATTTAGTATGGTTCATCAACCCTTTCTACCGGAAAAGCCTGCAGTGAATTATCCAATGTGGTTCCACAGTAAGCACAGGTGAGAGCCTAAAGAAATAAATTCTCCCAGGTATGTTATGAAGCTTAAAAAAGAAAATCAGGAATTCACTGGTAGTAGACATTTCTAGTGTGTGAGTCAATGACAAATGTTTCCGAATTTTAGCCCGTTTTGAGGCCCTGGAGTTATGCAGGATTCAGGTTGGGTCCTAGTCCTCAGAGTTCATATTCTATTAGGAAAACAGTTAGTGAGGTACATAACTACAATAGGTGTTTCCACAAAAAGATCTCTGAGGGAAAAAAAAGCTTGGCTAGCTGTTAGTATTAAATATGTTCTGAGCAGCTTCACCTCCTTTCCCAGTTATCCATGTTCCTTCTCATAAAGGAGCTCCGCGTAAAGGAGAGTGAGGAAAGAAGCAACGCCAGCTCCAGAGCCTGTTAAGCCATGTGTCCCACGCTGGTATCTTACAAGCTGCCTGTTCCTGTTCTTACAAACTTTCACTTTTACTGATACTTCTAAATAATGCTTTATAACAATTCTTTTCAATGGAACCATACCAAGGAACTACACATAGCCATGTTTCAGCCCTTCTTCTTGCAAAAACAAAAAAAACAAAAACAAACCAAACAAAACAAAAAAAACCACCAAAACGATCTGATCCACAAAACAGGTTTCTAATACAACGTATACCTGCATCAAACACATCAAAATTCCTTTGACTTCAGCATGACTTCAAGCTTTTTAAAGGATAAGCATAGGCACTTGTCCAGTGGAGGGAAAATCAGCCCTTTAAGACAACATGCTGAAAACAAACTTCTGTTATCTTGTGTAAACATCTTACTATCTTTCAGCAGTACACTGGATTGGGGGGAAATGGGATGAACTGAAAAATTCAGCCTCACTGCACTCAACATGTAAAATGCATAGGCACTAAGTAACCCCTCCAAGGAGAAAATCACACCTGTGTGTCAAACTTTTAAAATATAAGATCCTGACAAGATTTGCTTTATTCCTGTGTCAGCTGTTTTATCTGAATTTCCTGGAATTATTCTATTAAAAGGCAAGATCATTTGGAGGCTTTCATTTATTTCTTTTCTCAAATGAACCCCAGAGAGGATATTTAACTATATAAATTTGAATTTAAAGAGTGATAACTGGTTTTTGCTTGCAATATGGAAATGGGAATTACTGGAAGGTTGGAAATTGCATGAACAGTCTCTGTGGATCCCAAAGAAAATCTCATTCAACTGTACTGCTCAATCCAAATGCTTTTAAATGAAACAAAGTATGATTATAGAACAAGACTGAAATTTGTTTAACTCAAGTCTCCTCAAATTAGTCAAATAGAGTTCAACTGCCAAATATAATACTGTGTATTATTATCTCTAGAATATTACATTGTAGTAAAACCCCCAACATATTCCTGGCGTTTTTTAGATGAGAGGTATTTTTATGTATACAATACAGAAATAAAGCAATAATCTGTAGGATTGGTGTATAATCTTTAAGACTGAGGTTACTGGGAATATCTATTCAGTGATTTAGATTACCCAGTAATTAGTGAAAACCATATTCAATAATTCAGCATTATTTAGGATATCAAATTACATGCTTGGTTTATAAAAGCTATAATTTTGGTAAGCAGGTTTGTACTCATTTCTTTGACAGTATCTATTTTGTTTACTACACATATATTACTTAGAAGGATTTATGTAACAGAGAACCATGGGGGGGAGGATGATATTCAATTCTATGTGTACCAAATTTTGGAAAGGTAACCTATAGAATAAAACGCATAAATTAGTGTCACCATCCATGTATATTTAATACAGGTTTGTAGAATACATTTAGAACGTTGATAGATATATACCATCCAGTCATATTCACTGTGAAGCCTGCGAATGAGAAAACAAGGGGAAAAAACATAAAAGATGCCCCACCACCACCACCCGCCAGCTGGTAGGACTCTAAAGGCCTCCACTAAGAAACAAACCACAAGCCTGACATCAAAAGCGCGCACGCACACTCACGCACAAACACATGTAAAGGGTGTTTAGGAAAAAAACACCACCCAAACAAAAACATCACAGGGCAGACAGACACGCGCGCGCGTGCATATGCGCGCGCGCGCGAACACACGAGAACACACGAACACACACACACACACACACACACACACACACACACACACACACACACACCCTTTATGAAGAGCAGGGCAAGCAGTTAAGGCACCTTTCACGAAATCCCATGCAGCTCTGGCTGACCGCAAGATTTTTACAGTGTCACCAAGAAGCGATTAGAAAAGCATGTGAAAAAACGTGCAAATTGTCTGCAAACAGCGCCTGGCAACAGAGACAGTTTGCAAGCGTGATTCAGAGGTCTGCCTGCCAAGGAAACAAAAGAAGCCTCCCTCCTGCCCGTGCGGGCGCACTGGGCAGGAGAGGTGCTCTCCTGGCAGGCAGGCAGGCAGGAGGCAAGTGCGGGGAGGCGACAGGCGGGAGTCCGGGCGGGCGGGAGCGGTACATACTAGGGCTCGCTCTCCGGCGGGGACGGGGCGGCCGAGTTTCCATTAGTCGGGGAGCCGCCCAGCTTCAGTTTCTCCAGGTACTCGGCATGCACGGGCTTGTGGCACTGGAGGACCTTGATGGCATCTTCGATCTTGAACCACTCTCGCTTCCTGCCGATGCTGACCGAGTCTTCCCAATCCTCCAGCAGCTCGGTGACGGTGAGCACGAACACGTAGGTCCGGTGCTTGCGGTCCTGGTTCTGCTCGAAGACGCCCAGCAGCCGGCCCAACTTCCCCTTGACTCCCGCCTCCTCGTACACCTCGCGCACCGCCGCGCCGTCCGGCTCCTCCTCGGGCTCCATGCCCCCGCCGGGCACGATCCAGCGGTCGGGGTAGCGGCTGCTGCTCACCAGGAGCACCTCGTCTTCGCGCTCGCTGCGGAAGCACAGGCACGCGGCGCGCTTCTTGAAGCCCTCGGGGTCGTAGGTCCGCGTCTGGTTCGGCTTGCACTTCATCCTCGCCGCCGCCGCTGCCGCCGCTGCCGCCGCCGCCGCCTGTGTGTGGTCGCTTGCAGCTGCCGAGCGGGCCGCCGCTGCTGCTGCTGCTACTGCGGGCAGGGAGAGCGAGGACTGCAGAAGAGAGGAAGAGCAGAGCGGAGTCTGAGCCGAGCCCGAGCCCGGGGAGACTAGGCGGGGGCGGGCACGGGGGCGGGGGCGAGCCGGCGCGTCAGTCAGTCCGGGGAGGGCAGCGCCGGCCGGGTACGCCGAGGGTCGCGAGCCCGCCGCCTGATTGGAGGCGCCGCTTCCGCCGCCTGGAGCCGGGAGCCCAGAGCCCGCGCCTCCGCACAGCCCCCCGACTGGACCGTGCGCGGTCCCCGCCCGCCCGCCTGCCTGCCCGCCTGCCCGCCTGCTTGCCCGCCTGCCCGCCTGCTTACCGGCTTGCCCGCCTGCTTACCGGCTTGCCCGCCCGCCCGCTTGCCCACTTGCCCGCTTGCCCGCTTACCCGCTTGCCGCTTACCCGCTTGCCGCTTGCCCGCTTGCCCGCTTGCCTGCTCGCCTGTCCGCGATCGCGCGCTCGCTCTGCCGCCCGGCCGCCCAAGCAGGGGTTGAGCGAGGTGAGGCGCGTGCGCGCGCGTGGCCGGGCCCGCGTGCGCGCGCGCGGCGGAGGGCGAGGGGCGGAGGCGGGGGTCTCTCGACTCCCGCAACGCGCGACGCCACTGGCTCACTGCGCAGGCGCCCCTCACCGCTGTGCCTGGGAAGCTTCTAGCTCCCTGGGCGCTGGGGAGGTGCACCCCATTGTGACACTGCGCAGGGTCCCCACCACGTGTGAGTGTGGGCCAGACATGCCAGCGGCGGGGGCCAGCCTCCCTCCCATCCTCCCCGCCCCCCGAGAAAGGCACAGGCAACAGGGTCGAGGTCCTCGTCATCATCCTCTCCCATTATGAACAGCACTTGCCTTATTTCTAGGCAGAAGGCAGGGTGTCGCCAGAATGACCAATGGCAGTCTTGCCAGAATAATCTTTGCTGAGTCACATGCAGCTTGCTTTCTTCAACAGGTTCTCTACTGCGGCTTGTCAACCATCTTGGCTCAGCCCTTGTCTTAAACACTTGCACACAACCCCTGTTCCCATTTGGCATAGCCTCTCTGTTCCTCAGTTTCCCAGTCATGGAACCCCGGGACTCCTTGTCACAACCCTTGTTTCAACCCCAGTGCAAGTTGTTTCTGGAGCAGCACCCCCACAAAGTCGTGGATTCCCTGTCAGAGCCTCCATCCTCACACACTGCACCCTTTCCTGGCCTGCTCACAGATGAGCATCCAGGGCTTTGGTGATCCTTGAAAACGTGTGTGTGTGTGTGTGTGTGTGTGTGTGTGTGTGTGTGTGTGTGTGTGTGTGTACTCTGAACAGGTGTAGGCCCAAGGTGGGCAAAGGTTTCTTCCTCCACTGCTTCCATTGCTCTCCCACCATTATGACTTTGGGGACAGGTTTTCCACAATTAGGCTGCACTAGACCAGAAAGCCCCAGGAATTCAGAGTCTCAGTTTCTAGAGGCTCCCTGGCACTGGGATTGCAGCCTGGCTTGTATGTGGGTGATGTGGATCAGAACTCAGGTCCTCAAGCACTTTGTCTAGTGAACCATTTCCCTGGCCAGTGGATTTTATTTGGAGATTGTAAAGGTCAGTGTGCTTTGATCACACTGACTCTTGCCAGAGAAGCAGCTTCCCAGAGTCCAAAATTAACACAAAACTTCAACCATACTTTTTTATTATTTTCTCTAATGTTTCTCTCATTCCTTCTCTCTTGTAGACTTCTAGATTTCTGAGGGCACCGAATGTCTCCTCATCACCTCTTAGGCAAGCCTGCATTCTCTTGAAATCACCTTGTCCTCACTAAAGACTTTTGTACAGAGCTGAAGTCGGCTGTGGTTTAGCTTGATGATGTTCATAGCTGTCTTCTTGGGGGAAAGAGTTCACTTTGGTAAGGATTGCTGACTTCATTGAAAGGTATTTTCCATTTTCATGTACTCTGTGCCATCTGTTTTCTTTTTAAAAGCCTCTGAGTACCTCCAGGGTTCCCGGTAATAACACCTGTGGCTCCTTGCCTTGTTACTTCACACTTTGAAAGGCCAGTTACCCCTGCAAGATAACATGGAATGAAATGATAGCCAAAAGAAGATGTCTGATTCTATCATCAGTCTAGAAAAGGATTTTGCTTAGTGGCTAGTCTTCCTCCTCAGAGAAGCTCATACCATTGCCCTCAATAGTTCTTATCTATGAAGTGAGGCAAGTCCCTCAGGAAGCCCAACTCTTCCAAGAGACTTTTGGGACCTTATGTTCACTCCCATTGTGCATGAGTTCTGCTCTCTGGCCTTGAATTTGAAAGTTCCCCTTGGCTTCTCTTCTATCATAGCTCCCATGAATGGTCCTATGGCTCTCTGTCTGCTTGATGGAGGGGGAGTGTAAGGCTTGGTGCTACCCTGAAACATGCCCTTTCTTCCTGTTGAGCCAGCATAGTCCCTGAGCCTTAGTGTCTACCAAGGACTAAAAACACATTGACTGAATAAATTTTGTGAACAAAGTTCCATGGCTCCCAAAGGATCTTTCCTCTTGAGTCTGTGAGTTGCATGAAATGAAGTTTCCTTAAACCTGGGGCAGCTCTCCATGTCTTTTCACACAAGAAGGTGGGGGGGTGCCTTTCACATCAAAATCCACACCCGCCCCCCAGTTCTCTGTTCTATGTGTACCACACACACGTTTTTCTCTCTGGGGAATGGCAGTGGCTGTATAGTGGATCTCCAGTAGGTAATTCAGCAAATGTTCCCTCGGGGATACAATGGCTGGAACACAAAAGACCCTAGCATTCCTGATGTGATTGCAGGTTGAATCACTGTGTAATCAGAGAAGCTTCTTCTCTGCCTTTTGTGACTAATGTGATGTTTTGTAGAGGAGAAAACAATTTCTAATATTAAATAAACAAAAAAGCCCTGTTATTACTAACAACATAAACCCGAGACTAATATTTAGAGACAGTGCCCAGCATATATACTGCAGTAGGTGTTGCATGCATCTTCTTTTGTCCAATCTTAGAATCCTTTGAAGAAGATAGCGTCATTGCATATGGGGAGGGATGACATTAAGATTTGATGCCTATGGGATGCTTCAGTATCTAGCAGCTGCTAGACAGGTACATGATGTCAAATTCCGGGGTCTGCAGAATGGACTGCCCAGGAAGCCTCCAGCTCAGGAAGTCCCCTGAGCTTCCCCAGCTCCTGTCTCAGTGCTGTCCCCATTCTGGCTGCTCTGGCTCCTCAGCCCATGCAGGGATTCCTCCTTGTCCTCAGCCTCTCAGAATCTCCTCCTATTGAACACTCCCTCCAGCTGCATTGACCAAAGGGTGCTGAAGTCCACACTGATTCCCACTGTGTTACGGAAAGGGCACAGTCCCTGGCACTGTTAGAGAGGTGGAAGGCTTGCTCTATTCATGTCCTGCCTGCTTCAGAGGAGCACAGATCCTGAGCAGGGTTCTTTGTTGCAGACTAAGTTTCTGTGTCTGAAATAATGTCCTGGTCAGGATTCCTTTTCTTCCCCAAAGCCCAAACCAGCTCTGGCAGAATATAATCTCTTTATCCATCACCCTGCCACCCGCATGCCCACATACGATGAACTCAGCACCCTCAGAGGCTAGCCAGACTTGTGATTGTCAGCAGCTATTTCAAAAAGGTGCAAGTTCACTTGATAAATATAAGGATAAGGCAGATAATGTCTGGGGTTAAAACAGATGGGGAAATGGTAGCTCTCTTAGTTTCTCAGAAAAGCTTCATGTGGCCCCAACAACAGTGGCCTGCTCTGGAGAGCTGTGCCATATGTCCCAATGGCATCTTGGTTGTGAGTTCTGACCCAGCGTTGTCTTCTGATTGTCTGAGGCTCGGTGGAGAAAGGGCATTTGCTGTTATTGTTTCCATCTTTCAGGTTATTTAAAACATTCGAAAAAACATCACAGATTTTATTCTCAGCTTTCCAAAGTTCAGGAACTAGTAGGACGGGGAGTCATAAACCTTCCTAAACTTCTACCAATAGCTTTTTGTGATCAGCCCACATCCCAGAAGGGCACACTGATTTCTGGACTGCAGGAGACATTCTATTCTGTAATGGTCCTTATGTTCTCATAAACCTATCTGCATTTCCTCTTTTTAGGTTGTTTCACATTTTTTTTAATTTGGGGATGGGTGCATATGCCCTAGCACAAGTGTGGAAGTCAGATGACAACGTTTGGATGGATCCCAGAGATTACACTCTGATCCTCAGGCATGGCATCCTTTCCCTACTGACCCAGCTCACCAGCCTTTTGTCCCTTTATTTGCAGTATCAGAAGGCCCACAGTTCTTTATTTGAGGACTGACCGTGTGTCATTTGTTTTTCACATTTTACTGACAACTTTCATAGGATCACTCGGACCTCTATTCCATTTCTCCTAGATTATTAAATGAAAGCTGGGGAGGCTAGAGTGCACATCCTCCTTACCACAGAGCTTGAATTCCCAGGGCTGAGACTAAAATGAGGGCTCTTCCAATCCATTACATACACTTTTCATCAAATTCTTCAATTTCTTTCTTCTTTCTTGTCTATATTCAGCATATTTTGGGGTGCATGTGTGTATCTGTTTGTATGGAAGATGAAACGCAACCTCAGGTTTATTGCTGGAATGCTGTCCACCTTCTGTCTTATTTTGTTTACCCCCCACAGGAAGACCCTCTGTTTATTTGATTGAACAAAAACAAAATAAGCTGCATAGGAACAATTTTAAAGTCCAAAGAGACTCTGGCTTTGTTATCATATTTTTTGACTGAATCTTTCATTGGCCTGGAGGTTGCTATGTAAACTTGGATGTTCCCAGGTTTCCTTCTCTCCAGCATTGAGATAACAAATTCTAGACTTGTATGCCAAGCACTTCAATGAGTGAGGTGTCAACCTAGCTCCACAAAATTCTACTTTAATGTTGTGAAGTCAATCTCCCCTGCTTGCATGCCATTGATGTAAACTTATAAATTCTAAAAAAAAAAAAAAGAAAAGAAAAAGAAAAGAAGCAAATCCTGCTACTTATTTGTGCAATTTGACTCAGACAAGGTATATTTTTCCATTAATCTGTTCCATTCATAACATTAGGTTTGAGGTAGACACACTTGAAAAGAAATTGAGCACATATAATGACTAAAGCATGGAAAATTGGACTTCAGCATATAGTGTGCTGAAGGTTGCATGTGCAATAGATGCCTATGTCTGTGGACCAGTGCACGAGATTTCTAGAATCACCAAACACCTATGAACATCTTGTTGAGTTTACATGGAAGATGATGTCACCTATAACTTTTAGATGAGCATGTTGGATATTCACATTTCAGTATAATGTTAATTGTCCAAACCTCCTGGAAAGCTCACCATATTTCATGTAGAGTATTTGACACAGAATATGCCAAAGTCCTAGTCCATAACCACTTTGTTGTAAAATAAGCAAAAAGAAGGTAAAGCTTGTTTCATAAATGTGCACAAAGTACCTTGGCTATGGCAAGAGGAGGAAAGAAGAGGAAACAAAGAAAAGTGAGGAAACAGGAGCAGGAGAAGAAGCAGG